ATTTCATCAATTTTTATTAAAATTTACAAAATATGGACTAAATGAGTACCTATACCTCGATCATAGACGTTTCATATATATAACGTTATGCATCACATTGTATATTTTTTATGTTGTTGGAGTGGAGAGTTGTTAACAACTTATATCAGTTAATCATCTGTTCTTAACTCTGATGTGAAGGTTGTATATATGTTGACTTGTGAAGCTACCAAGAAAGTCGTACAACTATGGAAAATCCCCTAAGATCTTGATATAGTTCCAGTGGCTAAGCAACCCATAAGAAATTGTGATAATAGTGATACAGTAGTATAATCAAAGCTATCGAGAAATTATTAAAAAGGTAGACATATAAAGAGAAAATACTACCTCATAAAAGAGAGTGTCAATCACAGAGATGTGATGGTACATTAAATCACTCGACGCTCGCACAAAAATTCAGTGATAGAGCCAAATTAAGTGTTTGATATGTCAGAGACAAAAAAAGTTACATTACATATTTGTTAATTATCAGAAAAGAGCACTAATTTGTCTTTAAACTATTGTATTATAGCCAAAAATTTGGTCCCAAGAATAATAATTTATACTTAATTGCAATTAATTAGAATCTGCACGCCTTTCCTCATCAGATCAACTTTGGTTGTTGGTTGTTCTGATTTTTCACTATCTTTACAATTAATAAATGGAGCAAATCTCGTGACTTGGTACAACTCCCTTCTATTTTCCTTGGCCTAGCCGGCTTGGCCGGCATTTCGACAATATTGCAATATATTCCCTTCATACGCTGACTCATTCCTCTTTTATGCACTATTTCACTTAAAATTAAATTTGACTTACTTCTAAGCACAATCGAATATTCTGTATAAATGTTTTCATGATTAGAAACTACAAATTTCAAAAGGCGAATGGACCAAATCACACAAAGAAGCATACGACCAAATCACACAAGGCGAATGGACCCTTAGAAGCTAATCCAATACCGACATACCGATACTCCCACACAATAGTTTCAAACAAAATATATTTTTTTTTTCCTTTTTGTCCATTGAATTGAAGGTGAAAATTCAAGGAAAAAAAATCAATCTATGACATATGAAGAAGAGGCTTGCTACACGTACAAGAGCTGGATTTCACAGGTCTGCCAGGTCACACATATTCAGGTGGGGTCCATATTTTTTTATACATTTTTTTAATACAGTGAGGGGCCTATAAGACCCTGTAAGATTTATGCTCGGAGCATAAATCTATGAAGAAAGTGTATGACACATAGGATAGTTGGTAAAGTAGATAGAAAATATGGAGCTCACAATTTTTGTTTAACTACTTGAATAAGAAACATGTGAACTTATTTAATGGAAACATCTACAATTTTTCTTAAACATTTTATGTATTATTTTCCATATTCTTAAATGTACAATGTTTTTTTTTCTTCTAAGTAAAATGTACAAGAATTATATAACTGAAAATCTTGAAAATATATGGAATGATGAACCCAAATCACTAAACTCAAGGTGGGATGTCCCAATCCTAAGAATCCTTGTATAATTGTTGCTTTTTTTTT